ATCGTTATGTGTCCTCTCTTTTGCTATCTTCGGTTGCTGTTTTACGTTCTGAGTATTGACATTATTGTTATTATTATTATTATTGTTATTGTGTGATCATAAACGAAACGATCTTAAGCAAACGTTCTGCAACAGCAACAGCAGCACTTACTACAATTACAACACAATCAGCGGATTCTCGAGTTATTCCAGCAACAGCAACTCGGTAACAATGTTCCGATACATCAGTCTACTGCAGGTGCGTTCTTTTGTTTTCATTTTTGTTATCGTTATTGTTAATTTCATTGTTGTTATTACTGGTAGTATTATGGTTATTATGATAATACAGTGTTCAAATATTTCAGATTTATCAGCGAATTATTTNAATCGCATCCGAGCACAATTCCCATTAACTTTAACACGTCTAATAATGAGTCGCCAACGCTTTCAACTGCATCATTTATGCAGGGTATGTAAATTATTATTGTTATTATTATTATTATTAATTACTATTATTTATTGTTTATTATTTTTATTAATTACTATCATTTGTTACTATTATTATTGTTATTGATATTATTATTATTGCCAGTTATAATATGAACGTAAAGTGAATAAAATTCAATCTTAATAGGTGCGTCGCCAACAGATTCAAAACAGAATTTTATGCTGGCAAACGGGGGCAATAATTTGATACAGTTGACTGGTGCAAGTGGTGGAGCACAGACGAACTTGGAAGCATTACAACAGGCTTATTTGCAGCAGTATGCTGGTTGGTGATTTGATGATTTGATTAGTATGATGATTATAATGTTTATTTCTGGGTTGTTGTATGATTGTTTCTTGGATTCAGCTTCTTTTCCGCAATTGACCAACGGAGCGATGAACGGACAAGTGCCATCGCAGTTACTATTGAACGCGAATGCGGTCACGCCGTCGATCACAACTCCATCGTCATCGATCTCGCTGAATAATAATTCGATAAAACCACTGACGGCTAGCAATCAGTCGAAAGGACCCGACGGATGCAATCTGTTCATCTATCACCTACCACAAGACTTCACTGACTCTGATCTGATAACGACATTCTCACCGTTCGGAAACATTCTCTCAGCGAAGGTCTTTATTGACAAGCAAACCAATCTGAGTAAATGTTTTGGTTAGTGTTTTGATTTGTATGATTTTTTTTATTAATTTATGTGCATTACTGCACTATATCGTTGTTTGGTTTTTATACTTGTGGGTGTGGGATTTTCGTGATGAAATGTGGTAGTATTTGATGAATTATCACTTATTGATGACGGTAGTTGGCTTGGTAATCAGTGAAGTTGGTTTAGGT